ATAATAATAATAATAATAATAATAATAATAATAATAATAATAATAATCTTCTTCTGCCTCAGCAATAACTAAATCCCTTGTAACTAACACTCTAAATAAGGTTTGGACACCAAGTTTAAATTGATTTACTCATTCGGTTTCAGAGCTTACTTTCATGACAAAAGAGTCATTCCTCTAGTATGACATCTCGTTTCTGACGGGCTAGAATCACCTCCAGCTCAGCCAAATGGCGAACTAAGGCCCCCAAAGATGGCCAAGGGACCTTAATAGCTCCACTCCGAACCGCATCATGTTCAACATGACAACCAAACACTTCCTCTTTGCTGATGGCTAGTCTCTTAGAACCCACAACCCTGCAAAAGGGTTGGTTCACCAAAGGTACTATAACTATTAGAGGAATGAAAACTAATTTTTTTTTTTGAAATTATTAATATTCATGGAGACGGAAAATGGATGGTTTATCTTGGATAATTTCTATAAGTAGAACTTTATTAGAAGAATGACTCCTAAAACTTCTTTAAAACAACATGCCTAATCTGATATAATTGTATCTTAGTCTTGCAAAATCTTTCAATCAAGAAATGCCTCGATTAGTGCTACCTTCATCTCTTTGGATAACTCAAGGCATGAAAATGTTAAGCTTAGTGGTTAACTCTCTTAAATGGGGGAGAAAAATGTAATCATTTTTCATATGATCATTTCAAACACCAATGTTTGGTGAAAATATAAATATAATTTTGGTTGATGAATATGCTTAAAACTTGCACTGTAAGGAACAACCAATGATGGTATAATGTTTTCAATGCCAATAAACCACTTCACTTTGAACTTGAGTGCCATTTAAGGTGCTAGTCCATACCACTAATAAGTTTGACTATTATAATCTCAATGAGTTGAGATACTATGGTGATGCCTACTAGGCCCTCAATCATTCCCAAGTCTTTCCTACAAATTCTAAAAATTTGATAAGTTATCATTAACTATAAAATTTGAAAAAAAGGGCATCATTATCAAAAAATCAATTGTCAACCTGTTTCATGGGGTCAAATACATTTTTTTTGAGAATTCTTTTCAATAATAATAATAATAAGTACTACTAATTTAATAATAATTACTATTAATAAAATAAAATAAAATAAAATAATAATAATAATAATTATTATTATTATTGTTATTAAAGTCACCCAAGAATATCTGATAAAAACTTAATAAGAAATATTTAAAAGAAAAACAAAGTCATTAAAAAATTAGCAAAACTAGGAGCTTAACTCACCATTCATGTTAAAAACATTTTTATTCTTAATACTTTTTTTTAATTCACTAATGAACTTTTTTTTTGACTTTAGCTTCCACTAGCTTATGGGTGGGTTTGTTAGTTATCCCCTAAAATAGGTAGTGCAACCAATAAAATAGTTAGTACAACCACTATGATATTATCAATTTTAGATTCAAGCATTATAATTTGCCATATCATTATGTCAATTGTGAGCTTAACAATCAACACTCTAAGAAACTTATTTTATCTATTTATAACATTAAATAAAATCAAGGGCGATATAAATAATAGATTTTAGATTCTAATGAGTTCATTATCGCGTAATGCAACTTCATTAATTTTACCTTTCTTAGTTGATGAGTTGCCTTGAACCAAATAGATTTATTTGGAACTAAAGGAAAAATATTACATCAGGACTCTTAACAAAGACCTACGTTCGGATTGGAATATTCGGTTGTGTTACGAGAATATTCTATCTGCGTTTTTTATAAAAATAATGTGTTATTCGAGTATTATATGGTGTTATTCGATTATTTTGCGGTGTTATTAAAATATTCCCCCGCGTTACTTGATTTGGGGTTGTATTATTCAACATATTTCCCGTGTTATTTCAATTTACACTATGTTATTGGAATAACACAACCCCAAATCAAGTAATACGGGAGAATATTCCAATAACACTTCAACCCCAAATCAAGTAACGTGATATAATAATCCAATAACATCGCAAAATAATCGAATAACACCATATAATACTTGAATAACACATCAATTTTACAAATAACACAGTGAAATATTCCCACAACACAGCTGAATATTCCAATCCGAACGTAGCTCTACGTCAGGAGTTAATATTTTTCCAAACATTTGGGATATTATTCCTAACTCAAGTAAAATCTTTAATAAATTCCAAGGGGAGGGAATTGAAACAACAAACTAATTCTTTATTAATTTAACATGTTATCTCCATTTGGCTAATATAATATATTCTATCGCATTTCTCAATCACAATTACAACTCCAAATTTTGCCGTAAACCAAATCTCCAAAAATATGCTGACATTTGTAATAATTACTCAATAAAAGCTTTGCTGTAATGTTGTATATTTTGCACGCCACCCCACCGAACGGTCTAAGGAGACTTGCTGACGTAGAATAATAATTGAATGACTCCTATATCCTAGAATCAATTACATATACTAAAGTTTATACCATTAATTATATTCTAATTTGTTATTAAAAAAAAATAAAAATCATTGATATTTTTATTTTCAAAAAATAAGCTGTTTACATACCCTGTAGTAGCTTCAGGGCCCGTTGCGGGGCAGCTTATAAGTGCGGTGATATTTTTGAAAACACCAGTTAGAAACGCCGCTTAACCGTTTGGTTTGCACGTTTTTGAAAACACTGACTGCCGCGTTTGGGTTTTTTACACTAAACGTAGGCCGCGGGTCGACCCTCGCAGTGGACCCGCCGGGCCGCGTTTCAAGAAACCCCACGGTCGAGCAACTTATACACAAGCTGTCCTGAACATACTCTAAGTAATTAATGTTCAAGATAATAGCTTTTTTTTGAAGTATTTAATTGATCAAACAACTTTAATTGAATTGCACATAAGATTTTTAAAATAAGCCTACGTACTTTTCTCATAAGAGCTTGGAAACATTTTAGAATAGAATACTATTATGATCACGTTTTTATTAGAATAATCAGTCAAGTCAGCATTAAAAACAGCCATAACTTCCACAAGATAAATAAATAAATAAATAAAATAAATAAAAGAAAGGTCCGATCATAAGCACTTTATATTATTACGTGAAAAAGGTTGGCGGAAATTTAAAAATTGCATTTTTAAAAATTTTTACCAACTTTAGAAGATAATTAAATATTAAATTATGCTTCATAAAATACGGAAAAAAAATATTCAAAATAAATAGTGATCGTATTTTTTAATTCTTACTGTAAATCCAGACCACATCCTTCAACTACTTGTACAACACTCCCATCGGAAGGTCCGCGGGTTGGTTGCTAAGCTGAGAGGCACGAGGAGGAGGAGAAGGAAATGAAAACGCAAGGGCGAGAAAATTCATTAATTCTGCAGTCTTCCCTTCGTCCACGTCTTCTAGATTGCCCATCGCATTGCGACTCTCTCTCCCTCGTGAAATCTCCACCTACTTTTATTAATTAACAATCAAAATCCATCTTTTCCACCTCCGGTGGTGACTGGAGTAGCCGGAGAACCCATCCATGGCTATCATGTCTTTGCTCACCTACTTCTCCTGCTCCCCACCGTACGGAGCTCGCGTCGGCGAGTGGCTCTCCTTCATCTTCCTCTCACCCTGTCCACAACTTGTTCTGTTCTCCTTGGTTGATCTCCTCTTCCTTCTGTTCCTCGTCGTCTTCTTCATCCAGAAGCTACGGAGCAGCCGCCGGCGCGCCAAAGAATCGATCTTTGATATTGGGAAGCCTCTCCTCTCGCCCGACTCTTTCAACTCCCCCGACGTCCGCACAACCTGGCGCTTCAAGCTCCCGCTCGCCCTTTCCTGTGCACTCTGCGTTGTCTTCCTTGTACTTGCCATTGTCGATATCCTCTACCCCTCCTCTCCCTTCTACCCGCGCCTCGTTCAATCCATTACCCTCTTTCTCCAGTTCCTCTCCAACCTCGCAGCGGCCGCCATTATCTCTCACGAGAAGCGCTTCCGCGCCGTCTCACACCCCTTAACACTCCGCGTTTACTGGGTTGCCTCTTTTATCCTCTCTGTTATTCTATCCACCTCCGCCATCATTCGCCTTTTCTCCTCCTGCCACACCATCCTAGCCGACGACATCATCTCCATCATCTTCCTCCATTTTACCGCCGCTCTCCTCATCTTCGCCATCTCCCCTTCTACTGGTATCCATGCCCATTCATTATCCCCTGCATCTTCGTCAACCGACGAAATCAATAATATCCAACCGAACGCCAATGTCACCGCCTACAGCACCGCTTCCATCCTCTCCCGACTCAGCTGGAGCTGGATGAATCCACTCCTAACCAAGGGCTACAAATCTCCCCTCAAGCTTGAGGACGTTCCATCTCTCTCATCGGAGCACCGAGCAGAGCGGCTTTACAACCTCTTTGCTTCCAAGTGGCCTAACCCCGCCATCAAAACCAAACACCCTGTCGGCAAAACACTACTCCGATGCCTCTGGCCGGAGCTCCTCCTCACCGCTTTCCTCGCCGTCGTCCGCCTCTGCGTGATGTACATCGGCCCCACCCTCATCAATCGCTTCGTAGACTTCGCCTCCGGCAAACGCTCCTCTTTCTACGAAGGGTATTACCTCTGCTTCACCCTCCTTGCAGCCAAGTTCGTCGAGGCCCTCTGTTCCCACCAATACAACTTCCATTCCCAGAAGACGGGGATGCTCATCCGCTCCACCCTCATCACCGCCTTGTACAGCAAGGGCCTCCGCCTCTCATGCTCCGCCCGCCAATCCCACGGCGTCGGCAAGATCGTTAACTACATGGCCGTCGACGCCCAGCAGCTCTCCGACATGATGCTCCAGATACACTACCTCTGGCTAACGCCCTTACAAGTTGGCGTCGCCCTCGCCCTTCTCTACGCCTACCTCGGTCCCTCCGTCACCTCCGCCGTTGCCGGCATCGCCGCCGTGATGGTCTTCGTCGTCTTCGGCACAAAGCGGA